CTCCCTTTTTTCCTTCTTTGTAGTAGAAAATATGGGTCAAAATAACTCCTTACCGAATTGTTTTTTTGGGTAGAGTATAACTGGTTTTCGTATTGTCTGAAATATCTACTTTATCTTATTCCTTGTTCAATCTTTTTCTGAGAGGTGTGATCTACTAACTCGTGGCCACACTACCTCTCCAAATGGCATTAGACTTCTTTGACTAGAGATTTGAACTATTATGAAATCGAATTAGCCTTAGTTTGATAAACAAACCTGCTCCACTCGCATCACCCGGCTTCGGTTTACCGTCACTTAATGGCATGAGAGTTCAAAATGCGAAGGAAATAATGTAGAGAACAATCAATTATGCCTTACCCATAGACTGACGCCGTCCCTCTAGTGGTTTATGATGCATGCATACGACGAGTTCTTGTGGATTACGAAAACCGTAGAAAATTCCTCTGTTGCCTGATACGGGGGTTTTGGTCATTAATTTGAGATAGGCATAATTTAAACAAGAAAACTAGCAGAGGTATGACGTGAAGGCATTTAGAAGGGAGAGGGAGGGAAGAAGAAATATTTTGGCCAAATAAAAATAGGCAATTGATAGTGTCTAAGTTTGTCAGGCGACTTTCCTCATTCATATATCCTGTTGAGCTATCCATGCCATCCAGTAGGCGACACCAGTGCCTGGCTTGCAGCGAAGATAAAGACAAATCCGTCAGTCATTCACTGAAGAACTGTAGGCAGAATGTGTCTATCAGGAGTACAAATGAGAGGGAAAGCTGGTGGACGAAGAAAGATCCAAGACTTCGGCAACCATGAGCACTCATGGCAGATGCAGCGTGCAATAAGTAGATCTCATTACGACAGCTGCCGTGCATGAGGTTGCCTAGTCCAACCCAACTCAGCCCAGTTCACGCAGTGACCAGTGCATTGAGTGCATGCATGACAACCCGCTAAGGCCAAGCCAAATTTCTTGGCAGAGAGGCATAATGCTTAAAGCCACGGACGTCAGCTCAGATCTACAAAAGCCTTCAAGCACAGAAAGACATGGTGATAGAATGCTCATCAAGTGCACATATCTGGAGAAGAACAACGTAGAAGGATAAATGCATTATTCATTATCACAGTAGCCTTGAGGCTTGTGAGAGGTGAAAATTTATTTACAAATAATTTCTGAAGAAGTGGGGAACGTGGAGGCGGAAGGGATGAGAGGGAAAAGGAGGCCAGGGGAGAGGGATTACCAAGGCATAAGAAAGCTACAGAAGCAAAAGAGCATAGCGTTCGATTGTCTGACTAGACGGTAAGGACTTTCTGAATGAACTTTTGGGCTAGCTTCAGCTCCTCCTCATTGCATGTGTGCCCCAAATCGGAAATTTTGTGCAATTCGGCAGAGGTGAAGTGTAAATTTCGCAGAAATGCGTTAGTCTTACTACCGATGGCGTAGGGCACAAGAGAATCGGCTGCTCCATGAAATTGGAGGATGGGGAGACTGCTCTCCGCATGGATTTGCTGAAAGAAAGAAGAGAATGAGAGGCAAATGCTAGTTTCGCTTTGAATCATTTAACACATCGCCGCTTGCTTACTCTCAAGGCGTCAGCTCAGCAATTTTGATTTGGAAAGTTTCGGCATAATTTGTGTTTCCCATTGTGGAGATATGGCCCCAAGGCGCAGGGTTTTGCAATGACAAATGATAGTCATTAATCACATTAGTCAGTCAATTAGAACTGTTTGAAGAGAGAAAGCAGGATTTGATGCGCCGGTTCTTTGTTCAACTCAGTTTTGTTAAAGAAGCCACTTAGGGGCTCCGCCACTGTACCCTTAACGGGAGGCCCAAGATCGAGTACATACCGGTAGCCTCAAGCCCTACTGTAGGTCGACAGTTCTTATTCTGTCCCAGTGGCATGCCTCCTTTTGTCTTCAGGGAAGTCTCAGGGAGCTACATTAGTGGTAGCAGGAAGCTAACCCGATCTCAAAGGATATACATCCATATCTTTACTACTGAGTGATAAACCTCAGCGGAGCGGAAGAAGTGTGTGCTACCGATAGGAGAATTGGCGGCAACCCCAAACCGAAGAGCTGAAAATAACGTCTACTTTCGGCAACTACCACATTCCCGAGGTCTACATAAACTCTATTAACAGTTGAAGCAATATTAGCCGCGAACCATCTGGAAAAGTACGTTACAGACCCATCTACCGTTCCTGTATGGAAATTCCAATTAAGTGAACAAGCGCTACCTACTCCACTTCCCTGCTAGGTCGATAGAGCCAAGATGGACAAGGCTGAGTAACTTTGAAATGGGAGCGACGTAGCAAGAAGAAATGGGCGCGAAACCCTATCCTCACAGAGCAATGTCAAATAAGGTTCTTTGTTATGTAACTCTCCTTTTAGGTCAGCGCTTTTACCATTAGCTACATACATGCGTGATGAATAGCATGTTCCCTCGTCCCGCCAATAGAGTTCCCACACAGGACAAAGCCCCAGATCCAACGTAATTGTCAAGAAGGGCCTGTGCCAATAAAATCAAACATCGTCCCAGTTACATGGAAATCCTACTGGATCTGGCACGGTTGACTCGTGGATATTTCCCTTACAGCGTCGATTACGTTGTGATGGCCAACAGAAACACTAGAGACGACGCTCAAAAGAGAAGAGGGGCTATGTAGTGCGTTGATTGTTTGTTTCACCCTCAGTTTTAGAACTATGGCCAATTAGGTACTCCGCCATTGTGCCTCAGTTGGATAGGCTGGCCTCCAGGTCATGGCAGTAGTCCCAAGCCCTACTGTATGTTGACAGTTCATAGTCTGCTCAACGAATCAGCCTCATTTTGTCTTCATAGAGGTCTCAAAGCATGGGAGAGGGCTACAAGTTGATACAAATTTGCCAGGCGTTGGTAAGAATGAAATGTTCGACTTCCGTATGTACCGTAAGGTTCAAGAACTCGAGCATGAGGCACCATTATCACCAGCTTACAAGGTGTTGTAAAAGCGAGTAGAAAATCATAAAAATCTTACAAAGGGAGCCAATTTGTTTAAAGAGCACTGAACGCCACGGCACCTGTAAGTTTATCTTCCAAGAAATAAAAACCCTAGTTGCAGTAACCTCACTTTTATTACCCAAATCACAATTTAGATAACATTACTAGCAGAAAGCGGTACCATTCAACAGTCCAAATCAATCCATGGGCCCAAATTCAGATATCACATTTAATGATGGCAAACTCTGGAGAAAATCGTACTTCAAAATACCTAACATAAGTGCCCGGAATTACGCAGTGTTCCACCGT